CCTCAGTAACAATTCTGTGTCTGTCCCTCAGTAACAATTCTGTGGCCCCCTAAGTAACGTTTCTGTGGCCCTAAGTAACAATTCTGTGGCCCTAAGTAACGTTTCTGTGGCCCTAAGTAACGTTTCTGTGGCCCTCAGTAACAATTCTGTGTCCCTCAGTAACAATTCTGTGTCTGTCCCTAAGTAACAATTCTGTGGCCCTAAGTAACGTTTCTGTGGCCCTAAGTAACGTTTCTGTGGCCCTAAGTAACAATTCTGTGGCCCTCAGTAACAATTCTGTGTCCCTCAAGTAACAATTCTGTGTCTGTCCCTAAGTAACAATTCTGTGTGTCCCCTAAGTAACAATTCTGTGGCCCTAAGTAACAATTCTGTGCCCTCAGTAACAATTCTGTGGTCCCTAAGTAACAATTCTGTGTCTGTGGCCCTAAGTAACAATTCTGTGGCCCTAAGTAACAACGTTTCTGTGGCCCTAAGTAACAATTCTGTGGCCCTCAGTAACAATTTTCTGTGTCCCTCAGTAACAATTCTGTGTCTGTCCCTAAGTAACAATTCTGTGGCCCTAAGTAACGTTTCTGTGGCCCTAAGTAACAATTCTGTGGCCCTCAGTAACAATTCTGTGTCCCCTCAGTAAGTAACAATTCTGTGTGTCTGTCCCTAAGTAACAATTCTGTGGCCCTAAGTAACAATTCTGTGGCCCTAAGTAACGTTTCTGTGGCCCTCAGTAACAATTTTCTGTGTCCCTCAGTAACAATTCTGTCTGTCCCTAAGTAACAATTCTGTGGCCCTAAGTAACAATTCTGTGGCCCTAAGTAACGTTTTTGTGGCCCTAAGTAACGTTTTCTGTGGCCCTCAGTAACAATTCTGTGTCCCTCAGTAACAATTCTGTGCCCTAAGTAACAATTCTGTGCCCTAAGTAACGTTTCTGTGGCCCTAAGTAACAATTCTGTGGCCCTAAGTAACAATTCTGTGGCCCTAAGTAACAAATCTGTGTCCCCTAAGTAACAATTCTGTGTCTGTCCCTAAGTAACAATTCTGTGGCCCTAAGTAACAATTCTGTGGCCCTAAGTAACGTTTCTGTGGCCCTAAGTAACGTTTCTGTGGCCCTCAGTAACAATTCTGTGTCCCTCAGTAACAATTCTGTGTCTGTCCCTAAGTAACAATTCTGTGGCCCTAAGTAACGTTTCTGTGGCCCTAAGTAACGATTCTGTGGCCCTCAGTAACAATTCTGTGTCCCTCAGTAACAATTCTGTCTGTCCCTGAGTAACAATTCTGTGTCCCTAAGTAACGTTTCTGTGGCCCTAAGTAACGTTTCTGTGGCCCTAAGTAACGTTTCTGTGGCCCTAAGTAACAATTCTGTGGCCCTAAGTAACGTTTCTGTGGCCCTAAGTAACGTTTCTGTGGCCCTCAGTAACAATTCTGTGTGTCCCTCAGTAACAATTCTGTGTGTGGCCCTAAGTAACAATTCTGTGGCCCTAAGTAACAATTCTGTGGCCCTAAGTAACGATTCTGTGGCCCTCAGTAACAATTCTGTGTCCCTCAGTAACAATTCTGTGTAACAATTCTGTCCCTAAGTAACGTTTCTGTGGCCCTAAGTAACGATTCTGTGGCCCTCAGTAACAATTCTGTGTCCCTCAGTAACAATTCTGTGTCTGTCCCTAAGTAACAATTCTGTGGCCCTAAGTAACGTTTCTGTGGCCCTAAGTAACGATTCTGTGGCCCTCAGTAACAAATCTGTGTCCCTCAGTAACAATTCTGTGTCTGTCCCTAAGTAACAATTCTGTGGCCCTAAGTAACGATTCTGTGGCCCTCAGTAACAAATCTGTGTCCCTCAGTAACAATTCTGTGTCTGTCCCTAAGTAACAATTCTGTGGCCCTAAGTAACGTTTCTGTGGCCCTAAGTAACGATTCTGTGGCCCTCAGTAACAATTCTGTATCCCTCAGTAACAATTCTGTCTGTCCCTGAGTAACAATTCTGTGTCCCTAAGTAACGTTTCTGTGGCCCTAACTAACGATTCTGTGGCCCTAAGTAACGTTTCTGTGGCCCTATGTAACGTTTCTATGGCCCTAAGTAACGATTCTGTGGCCCTAACTAACGTTTCTGTGTCCCTAAGTAACGTTTCTCTGTCCCTAACTCTCTCCCTGCATACAGCCAGGTCTGCCTCTGTTGAATGACTGGAGGCAAATGCACATGTCGCCGCCATTTTAGGAAAATTTTCGAAATTTTCCTAATATTCGAAACGAATTCCACTTCGCCTACTTCGATTCGCTCATCTCTAATTAGAACCCATGACCCAAGTGCTGTAAGTTCTGAGCTCTAACCACTAAACCACTGTGGGAGACAGTTTGAGCTATAATGTAGAATAGTTAGATTGTTTAAAAATGATAGAGCAAGCGCTGGTCAAATGATATAGACTAGTAAAATGGTATTACACAAGATAAATATAACCACGAACAGTAGTGCATGAACTCGTGAAAGGTCATCCACCCCTGTGACAGTGTACTACACTATTGAGCACCTTTCTGGCTCTGGTGGCTGAGCTAATTCCTCCCCAGGACCATTTGGGCACCTACCCTGATGGATGGATTGAGCTGGATGACTAACCCATAGCTGCCAGCATACCGCTGCACCCCCAGATGTGTGATGTGTATAACCCATGCACATTAATACTTTTGTTCTGGTGAGTGTAGACCAGTCCCAAGGGTGGTTTACCTTTCACGAGTTCATGCACTACTGTCCGTCACGGAGAGACCACACGTGCCATTCATAGGCACTCTCCGAGTTGGTACTCTCACACGAAGGACATTCCATTATTCAGGAATGATTCTATGAACTTATTTTAGCACCATTTACAATTTTACATCATTGTTGCAATTCTTTGCAGCTTTTTGGTTTTTACATGCGTTCATTATTGATCACATGCATTTATAGCGCTGCACTTGTCTTTAACATAGAATAGTTACGTGAATAAAGAGAATGAAGATATATAATTATATTGGGAAATTAGAAGTAAATAAATTATTTGAGATATAAGTGTGAAAATGTTTAACATTTGAATACAGAATGTATGACATTCATTAGTAAATGCATTAGTTTCCTGATCATTTTGGAGAAACCGCAAAAAAAAATAAATAAAAAAAAATAGGAAATTCTAATACAGGTGTACTATTTATTACATTCTAAGGATTCTCTTTTGCTATCAGAAAAACGCCAATATTAACAAAGCCCGCGCTTTATTAACATATACGGTATTGCACCTAAAAATGTGCCAGACGGGATACCACATTTACTAATAGCAAAGTAGTCAGTAGACGCTCGTTAATGAGCTTGCTAGACGCTGGTCAGACGACTGATTGATTGACCTGAGTCTGCCTGAATGGTCAGTCTCTGCTAGTACACTCACATCTTAGTGAATCAGGGCCTATGGGTCTGTGTGCGAGTTCTTGGTGGTTGCGGGACAATACTTGTGCTTGCCATCGCACCAGCTTGTACTGCACTTATGGGACTTGCCACATCACCAAACGATACTGCAGTGCTGGTATGTGAAAGACCAGGATGTACTAGGCCGCTGGTGCTCGCCAGTTCACCAAAAGGTAGTGCGGCACTAGTACTGGCACTCATATGCTGCATATGAGAGTCATCAAAATTTACCGGGAAGTGCTAACAGACATCAGGCCTGATTCTGCGAACACTGCGGTTTTGTGTGCAATGTATCAAGTGACAGTGACCTACTGACACTGCACTTGCTGGGGGAGAAGGGGGGTAAGCGTAGGGGCTAAACGCAGGTTCTGGCAGGTGCCAGGGCTGATCCCGCTAACGCTGTGTTTTTGGGGACACTATACTGATGTGAAAACTGGTATAGTGCTGATCTGATCAGATAATGATCCGTTCAGACATTATACTAGCAATGGAGTTTTATTGTGTATGAGCGTGTGCCTGGCAATCAAGGGGTTAAATGTGATTACTGGAGTACTGAGGGGCAATCTGACGCTATCTGGGAGGGGCGTGAAAAGCATGGGAGCACGAACCATGTATATATATATATATATATATATATATATACACACACACACACACACACACACACACACACACATGATTTTGCGCACCCAAGCCGCCCTGTCGCAGTATTTCTGCTATAGGGCAGTCAGGAAGCGGTTACAGAAGCGGTTTGCATTATGGTGCTGCGTTACTTTAACCACTTGACCTCCAGAGGATTTACCCCCTTAATGACCAGGCCTCTTTTTGCTACTTGGCGCTGCACTAATTCAACTGATAATTGCGCGGTCATGCAATGCTGCACCCAAACAAAATTTGATAAGTGATATAATGCTCCTGGAACCATTATATTGAGTGGTGGATACCTACCTTATGGATGATTGTGTAGCTATTGATCATCACACCTGAGAAGTTGATTTATTGCATCTGCTCCCAGAGCAAAAAGTGTTTTTTGCTGATCTAGAGATTGATCAGCATGGAGCTCTGGTGAGTTACCCAACTTTACTTTGGTGGTGGATTTTGGCACAATTTCTTTGAGAGCACCTGAATTTGAAAAGGATTTGTTTGGACATTTGAAGAAATTCAGAATTGGACAATTTTTATATTCAAAAATTTAATTATTTAAATTACTTATGCACTAAAAAATAGTTTTGCACATAATTTTGATATTTTTTGATATTAATTGAGAATAGATATATATATCTTTTGCACTAATGTTTCTACACTAAATTAGGAATAGTTTGTGGTTTTAGCCCATTCCTTTATTTAAGTTATAGCACTAGAAATTTATTTGGTTTCTTTGAGGTGGAATTGCTGCTTTAAAGTATTAAGGGTGTGGCGCTTTTATTACACTTGTGAAATACCTGTAAATTAATTGGTTTACGTGAAACTTATAGCGTTTACAAATGGCGGGAAAGATACTGGGATTTGTAGTTTTTTTTTTTATACTAATAATGGCGGCGATCAGCGACTTATGGCGGCGATCAGTGACTTATGGCGGCGATCAGCAACTTATGGCGGGACTGCGGCGGACATTCTGACATTGGGGGGTACTGACTTGGGGTCACTGACATCCCCAGTGACACCAATACAGTGATCAGTGCAAAAAAAAAAACACTGACACTGTACTAATGGCACTGGGGAGGAAGGGGTTAACTTTATTTTTCAGGGAAGGGTTATCTGTGTTTTACTAGGGGGTGGGGGTGTGTGCTGGATGGGGACAGGCTGATCGGGAGATAGAAACTCTTCTGTCCCGATCAGCTTGTCCTCGAGATGTCAGGGAAGTGACAGAAAGCACAGCTACTGCAGCTGTGCTCTCTGTCACTGATTGCCGCCGATCGCCGGGAGATAGCCAGTAAGGACCGGCTGTGACCCGGCGACTGACATCAGCTGCTGTGATCGGCGGGAGAGGTAGGGCGGCGGCGCGCCTCACGCGCGCACCCTACCTGTTTACAAAACACACGTTTTAAAACGTGGTGTTGCCTGCCCGTGCCGCCGTATTTATACAGTGGCTGGGCGGCATGTGCTTAACTGACAATTGTGAGGTCAGGCAACGCTGCACCAAAATTAAATTTACATCCTTTTTTCCCCACAAATTGGGCTTTCTTTTGGTGGTATTTGATCGCCTGTGCAATTTTTATTTTTTGCGCTATAAAAAAAGACTGACAATTTTGAGAAAAAAAAAAATATTTTGGACTTTTTGCTATAAAACATGTCCAGTAAAAAAATTTCAAAATCACAGTTCGTCATAAATTTAGGCCAAAATATATTCTGCGACATGTCTTTACTGAAAAAAATCCCAATACATGTAAATTAATTGGTTTACATGAAAGTTATAGCGTCTACAAATGGCGGTATATATACTGGAATTTTTTTTTTGTATACTAATAATGGCAGCAATCAGCGACTTATGGGGGGACTGTGGTGGACATTCTGACACTGGGGGGGAACTGACTTGGGGTCACTGACATCCCCAGTGACACCAATACAGTGATCAGTGCAAAAAAAAAAACCCACTGACGCTGTACTAATGGCACTGGGGAGGAAGGAGTTAACATTTGGAGGCAATCAAAGGGTTAACTGTGTGAGGAACGTTTTTTCGCTAGGGGGCGGGGGGGTGTGTGCTTCACAGCAACACACTGATCCAGACAGTTCTGCTCAGCGTTCCGGATCAGTGTGATCAAACTGACAGGGAGGAGAGCTGCAGTGTAAACACTGCAGCCGTCCTCCCTGTCAGTGTTTGCCGGTAATTGCTGGGCTCCGGCGGATAATCATCAGCCGGGACCCGGTCATTGACACCCGTGGCCGTGATCGGCGGCGCGGGTAGGACGGTCGTGTGCCTCGCGCACGCCCCCTACCCGAAATGCAAAATCACGTGTATATATACGTGATTTTGCGCAGTGGTGCACTGTGTACTGTGGCTGGTCGGCAACCGGTTAATCAGAATGATCTTGAAATTTGTAAACTTATGTAGCAAAGACCCTAAACTGGACTGGCTGTTTGATCCTGTGTTCCATTTCCTGATAGGCACATGGCAGCCAGGCACAAAGTCGTTCACAGTCACTCAAGTCAGAAAACAGGCTGTGCATGTCTTTTTGCAGTTTATTTGCTGGTTTAACTTGGATGAGGTTAGGGTGAGCCCAGGGCTGTATTTACCACAAGGCAAACAAGGCATTTGCCTAGGGCGGCATTTTTCAGGGGGGCAATTCCACCCCCCGAAAGAAGGCATGGAAGGGACACAGGCAGCATGGAGATCAGATGGGTTCTGAGAGAGGCTGCGGGCTGCTTGATGGTGTATGCAGAGCCTGATTCTTGTTCCCGGGGATGTCCAGAGCTGTGGAGGTGGGTGGGGGAAGATTGCCACTGTATGGGGGGCAGTGTAATGTAAGGATCTCTTGGTTGGGGGGTTGTTGTTCAATGTCAGTCTCAGTTCGTTGGGGAGAGGGGTGTTGGTCGGTGTCAGGGTCTCTCCGTGTGGGGGGGGAGCTGATTTTTGTGTTGCCTAGGGCAGCACGAAACCTAAATACACCACTGGGTGAGCCTTGGGAACTAGCAGAGCTAGCAGAAATGCAACAGAGGACACTAAAGCTGATCTGCTCCTTCAGGGTATAACCATCCTCTTGTATGTGAAAATTAAATTAAGTTAAATGCAGGGACCCCTCAACAGAAATATAGTCCTGAGTCAAACTATAATGAACTCTCCCAAAGGTGGCAAGGAAAGTCCCAGGATTCTTACGACTCCTTGTGCCCTGGGCACAGTAAACTTTTGTTTATTAAAAATCTTACAAACAGCATAAAAAAATATATATACATACTATATATACAGAAAAAATAAAAAATAAAGATAGATAGAAGGTAGATAATTAAACAAAAATAGCTTACTTCAGCAAAAAAAAAGGAACAAGTTTTTATTTTGCAAGGAAAAAACAAACTAAACGGAAAATACAAACCAAAACATATATTATTATTATTATGATTATAACACACCTCAACAAACCCTAACCTTCACCTAAACACACCCTCAGGCTAAGAAATGATTAAACATTGAACCTATACATCCAGCCTTTTATCAAAAATCTGATCTTAAAAAAATTTTGGAGATGTGAAAGGACAGAAAGGCAAGCCGCACAGCCAGAGACTGACAGACAGCAACTATGAGGACCCGACATTCCTCCACACCTTTGTCCAGGCCTCAGCCGCCGCCACCTGTTCTTCTCAAGACCCTGAATCTTCCCAACCTTACTCAGAATGTTGTGCACCACCACATTGACAGGAAGGACTTTTTTCTGAGTAGAAACCTAACACTGTGCATTCCATGTGAAGTATCGGCATCTTGTAGCCTGCTTACCCAATTTGCAAGGCCGTAATTGCCAGGACCAAATCTCATGCCTAAAACTTTAATTTCCTGCCAGGGCTCTGGGAAGGTGTCCAGTAGCTCAAAGCCTTTGCCATCCTCTCCCATCCAGAAAACCTCATCCTTATCCTGCTTGATTTTTGAGCCAGATGCCTCAGCTTACTGTTCCATCACTGAGACCACCTCCTCTGTCCCAGAGATGAAAACAAACATGTCATCAGCATAGGCCACGACCCTCAGAGGAGGCTCACCAGGAATGCCCAAAGGCACTCCGCACAACGGTCCACTCTCTAACCTCCAAATTAAGGCATCGATTGCGAACACGTATAGCAGAGGACTCAATGTACACCCCTGACGCTCACCCAAGCCAACCTCAAAAGGCCATCTGATCTAACCATTTACAAGCATGAAGCTTTCAGCCGCCCTGTATAAAGTCTTCAGCCAACCGATAAAGCCCCCCTCCAGGCCATCCAAGAAGCAGCCATAGGTACTCATGATTGAGCTGATCAAAGGCTTTGGCCTGATCCAATGCCAGCAGGTACTTTCTTCAGCCTGCAGCCCTGCACCATTCCAGGGCCTCCCAGACAGCTAACACCTCTGAAAAAGTGTTTCTACCCTGATCTGAACAATGCTGATGGCGAGAAAACAAATTGCCTGCTATAGATGATAAATGGCAGAAAATGATTTTTGTCAGTATCTTCCTATCAATAATGAGAAGGCTAATGGGCTGCTAATTCTGAAAGAGACTTTACCCTTTGACAGAAGAATCACTGCAGCTTGTCGCATGGAGGTAAAGAGAGAACCCTCTCTCAGACAGCCATTAAAAATCAAACATGGGGCCAGAGTAACCGTAAAGTTTTTGTAAAACTCGGCTATCAATCCGTCTGGCCCAGGCGACTTCTTAATAGCAAGCTTATTAATACTAAATTCAAAATAAATCTTTGCTCTCAGATTGAATAATACATAAAGAGCAGCTGACACAGGAATAGATATAATCCCTCAGAGCAATATAACAAAAAAGTGCAGCACTAAATAGTGTTAAAGACCATCAATTATACAAAAGTCGTGCTCAAAAAAACTTCTTAAATGACTGAAACCAAACCATCAAAAGAGACTGAAAAAACCCACATTCAGTGAATCAAGAAAGGAGGAAGATGACACCTCTAGGATCCTGGTGAAAATGACAGACATATAAGAGCTCTCATCAGAGCTATTGGGCTTTTATATCAAAAGCTAACAGCACTTTAGGGGTTAACTCCAAAAAAACCTCTGGTTTGTATCGTAGGGATGGTTCTGCCCTTGGCTCAACTCCAACTCCGTGGTTCCACCTTCAATCCAGATATTCTTCCGCAGTACTTTGTCTTTGCCACGAGATGTCCCCAGTTTGAAGGCCAGCCTCATTCAGCCCACTTCCTCTGAGCCCAGGTTGTCTTACATCACTCCCAGCCTGTCAAACATCCGTCTTCAGGGTCAAGCCCTGTTGCCCTTGTCTTTTCTTAACCACTTCCCGACCAGCCGTTGCATATAAACGGCCAGACGGTGGCAGTGCAGGGTTGGGTGGCCGTTTATAAACGGCCTTCCCACACCCTGCTTGTGCGCGCTCCCTGGGAGCGCGCAGCACCGCGATCCGGTGCCTGCTGTGTCCTCCGGACACAGTGAAACACCGATCGTCAGACGGGACCTCTGTACGAGGTCCCGATCATGTGATCATTGATTGGCCAATCAGTGATCACATGCAAAGTAGTAAGCAAGATGTCACTTGTGACATCATTGCTTACTACGTGTGAAATCTGTGAATGATCACAGAGGTCACATGGTACAAGGCTATTCACAACAGCCTTGTACCATGTGACAAGCTGTGACCAATCACAGCTCACTCAGTACTTCTCAATGAGTGCAAGAATGCACACAGAAAGAAAGAGAAATGATTGCTTTTACATCCTATATGGGTGTAAAAGCAATCAGTGTTAAAAAAAAAAAAAAATCTTTATTATCCCCCACAAGTAATACAGTGTCACCATGGTGACACTGTACTGCTAGGGTGACAGTATGTAAAAAAAAAATAAAAATAAAAAAATAATATAAAAAAATAAAATAAAAATGTAAAAAAATTTTTTTTAAAAATTATAATTTTTGGTCATAAACTAATTTGGATTTTTTTTTTTTTTTACTAAAAAGATAACGGAATAAATTTTGGCAAAGATTTATGATGAAATATTATTTATTTGCAAAATTTAAAAAAAAAAACACTTTTTTTCAAAATTTTTGGACATTTTCATTTACACAGCAAAAAAAATAAAAATCCCAGCGGTGAATAAATACCACCAAAATAAAGCTTTATCTGTCTCAAAAAAATGGTAAAAATTCATTTTGGTACAGTGTTGCATGACCGCGCAATTGTCATTCAAAGTGTGATAGCGCTGAAAGCTGAAAATTGCCCTGGTCAGGAAGGGGGTAAAAGTGTCCAGTCTGGAAGTGGTTAATATTCACCGTCCTTGATCTCCTCCACTATTAGTAACACCTGAATCCGACATAATTCCAGTCTCTTGTAATCCCATGTAAGGACTGAGTGAGGCAGGGGCAACACTAGGATCTAATCAGTTGTCTTGCATTCACACAAGTGTTGCTCCTGCCTCACTTTTTTATATAAAAGCCCAATAGCTCTGGTAAGAGCTCTTATATGTCTGTTGTTTTCACCAGGATCCTAGAGGTGTCATCTTCTTCCTTTCTTGATTCACTGAATGTGGGTCTTTTTTGATGGTTTCGTTTCACTCATTTAAGAAGTTTTTTGAGCACGAACTTTTGCATAATTGATAGACTTTAACATTATTTAGCACAGACTTTTGTATAATTGATGGTCTTTAACAAACGAATCAATAGCTTTAACCACCTCAGCTACCATGATGTCCTCTGTCAAACTCACAAGAGAACTGCCATTTCCCAGTCCTGGAGTAGAGTCCAGAAAACTTGACACGCCTGCCTAATCAAGGTCTCTCCTACCCAGGAGGTCAGTATAATATGACCCTGATGGTTTCCAGGATCTCCGACTTGGACCTTGTCAATGAACCTGTACTGCCAACTGGCTTAAATGTTGTACCTTTTGCTAAGGGTCAGGTGAGTGATATTTCCCATAATCCCTCTCCAAAACCAAAGAGGCATGCCTGAGTTTAACCTCACTTAGAGTTCCCCTTTAAAAAAAACTTATCTATTCTGCTCTGACTAGCACTTCGCTGAAAAGTGAATACCATGTAGTCTGGGCAGCAACAAATGTACACATCAACCAGACCTGCCTCTCTAGCTATTTTGCTTTAAAAAAAAAAAAAACCTGTCACAGTCCAGCCTGGCTCCGGTACTTTCCTGTCTTTAATCCTAGTGATGGTGTTAAAATCACCACAGAAGGCAACTTAATGGACTGTAAAAA